AATAACTGAATGCCTTTTTTTTTATTTTTAATGAAATCTGTCTACCTCCTATAGCCAGGTGTAAAATAAATATATGATGACATTACGATTTGCATCACCTGTTAGCTCGCTGCGCTGGATTGGAACGCATCTAATGATCAGCTCCCGGGTGATGAGAGAAAGTTTCAATTCAGCTTATTTCTATAGCTCCAATTCACAACACATCATCTCAAGGCACTTTACAATTCACCAGATCATTTGGTCAAATTGATTCAAAGTTTTTTATCTAAGGAAAACCATTTGATTGCATTGACTAATTGACTCGAAGACAATCCCTCAGGCTACTGTAAAAACAAACAACTAGAAGCTAAAGCTCCACAGAAAAAGATTTTAGTATTCATTAAACTTATTTCCACTGTATATTAATCGGTACTGAATGTATGGAATAGACTCTGTCAGAGCTATGGCACCAAACCCTCGGAAATCTTTTCACCAAGCCAGAAACAAAACCAGGGAACAAAAAAAGGTAAAAAACAAACTACTGGACTTTGTTTGCCAAGTCTGAAGACGTTTCGCCACCCATCCAGGAAACTTTATAGTTCCAAGCTTTGGAGTGTAGCCCAAAAAAAAAAAAAAAAGCCCAAAAAAAAAAAAAAAAAAAAAGACTTTTTTTGGCTTAGAAAACATGCAAATTGAACCGGAAGTTGTTAGGGTCATTGTTTGCCTAGCTGACCAGGGGAAATGTCTTGGTCCCTTGGATGGAGATGAGAATTCAGATGATAGAAAGGAATCAACTCTATCGCTGTGCTGTAGGGTTTGAGAGCTGGAACCTCAGTCCACCCCTCAGTTTAAGGTTGATTTTTTTTTCTCTTAACATAAATGGCTTCCTTCACACCCTTTTCAAACCACCTGTCTTCTTTGTCTGTGTAACCCTAACCTCTGAAGCGTCTGAAATAGAAACATTTTAAAGTAATGATGAATGGCAGGTTGCTTCTTAGATGTGCTCCAAACCCCTGCCTTTTAAACATCCCAAATTGATGCACGGTGGCTCAAGCATCATGCTATGCCAACGATTCTCATATTATGTTATTAGGTTGTGGAAAAGTTCACATACATCTGAATACTTAAAGAGCTCATGATGCATTTGGCTTTAGAGGAAGATGATCAGCGAGGGAATAATCCCAAACACAGCAGTCAGCCGGCAGCATCTTGGTTTCAGACAAACAAGATTAGAGCTACAAAGAGGCCAGCCACAATCCCAGACCTTAATCCAATACAGAACTTGTGGGGTGACATCAAACATGCTGTTCCTTATTAAAGCCCGGGGTGGGGGGATCGGGGGTTACATTACTCTATGGAATAATGTATTTATTTCTATACTTTTTCTGATTCCACGCTGCAGACATCTAATTTTAGTACATAGACAGAAATCAGAGGAACAAACCAAACTGGGTGAATAAATGATTTCAGATGTAATCAGGTCGTTATTTCAGTGCAACAGTTTCAGAGAAAGGAAAACTGACTGGATTAAAAACTGTAGCTAGTTATCAATTTAAAATTTTATGGTTTTGAAATTCATTTTAGCTCTGGCTATAAGAGGACTAAGTTCACAAATATAAACTCTTAGTCAAACTCTGGTAGTCAAACTCTGGTAGTTAAAATCTGGTAGGGAAAATCTGGTAGTTAAACCCTGGTAGCTAAACCCTGGTAGTTAACCCCTGTAGTTAAACCCTGGTAGTTAAACTCTGGTAGTCAAATTCTGGTAGTCAAACTCTGGTAGTCCAACTCTGGTAGTTAAACCCTGGTAGTTAAACCCTGGTAGTCAAACCCTGGTAGTTAAACCCTGGTAGTTAAACCCTGGTAGTCAAACCCTGGTAGTCAAACCCTGGTAGTTAAACCCTGGTA